TACGCCGGAATCGGCTGAGGCCTACCATCGCAAACTTGAAGCGGCTTGCCAACTCCTATTTGGATGAGGCAAACAGAATCCTTGTGCAACTAATGGAAACATACCAACGCCGTATGGCGATCACTGACCAACTCTCACTGGTTTGTCGCATCAAATTCACGAACTTTTGCAAAACCGTTGTTGACAGAACGAGGAGGAAACTGGACAAGACCCTGCGTAGATCGCTTGAAAACACAAATGAAGAACCCGTCTTTTCCGACAACCTACAGAAGCATGTACACAACCTGTCTTCCGTATCCTTGAACAGAAAACAAATGGAAGCTTTGTCATTGGGCGTGAATTTTAAGATTCCCCCAAAGAATGTCGACCGAATACACGTTGAGACTCAGTTTGAAAACCTACTGGACCAACTATCTAAATTGACCCCGACGACTAAGGAACAGCACAACTGGCTCAAGGTTAAGCTCGTTGATATTGCAAACGGTTACATGGCGGCCCCGATACACCAAACCTGCTGTATAGATAAAAGTCACATCAAAGCCTTACGTGATCTGAAGGCAAGAGATATATTGGTGCTAAAACCTGACAAAGGCACAGGGGTTGTAATTATGAATAAGCTTGACTACAAAAACAAGATGTATGAGATCTTAGGAGATGAATCAAAATTTCAAGAAGACCAAAGCGAAACCACTGTAACACAAATCGAAAAGAGGGTGACTAATCAACTAAAATTGTTGCTGCAACATGGAATGCTAACAGAAGCGATGTACAACTCTCTCAAGCCAAGAGGGACACGCATCCCACAAATGTATGGCTTACCGAAGATCCACAAGGCCAACACACCTTTAAGACCTGTACTATCCATGTGTAATTCACCATACCACAAGTTGGCACGTTGGCTAGTTGATCTACTTACACCGGTGAGACGAATGATGACAAAGTACACAGTGAAGGATACATTCGACCTGATTGACTGTGTGCAAAACATGAATATCGCTGACAAGGTAATGTGTTCAATGGACGTACAGTCTTTGTTCACTAACATCCCATTAAGAGAAACGGTGGATTTCTTATGTGAGTTTATAATGAGTAATAAAGTAGTGTTACCGATTCCCGTGGAATATCTTAGGGATTTGCTGCTACTATGTACTGAAAATGTGCATTTCTTATTTGAAGACAAGCCGTATCGACAGGTGGATGGTGTAGCTATGGGAAGTCCGCTAGGTCCGGTATTGGCTGACATTTTCATGACGATGGTTGAAATGAGATGTGAGCAGCACATCAATCAAATGTGTTTATACAAGCGATACGTAGATGACACATTAGTGATCGCCCCAAGTGGAGACGCTGTTCTATCTTTCCTCAACGTGCTTGATAACACACATCCAAACGCCCGTTTTACCTGCGAACTGGAGGATAACAATTGCCTTCCGTTTTTGGATGTGTTGTTGACCAGACGAGAAGATGGCTCCATTAAGCGTTCTGTACACAGGAAAGCTACATGGACAGGATTGTATGAACACTTCAACAGCTTCGCCCCTATACAATACAAGCGGTGCTTAGTCAAGACGCTGTTTAATCGAGCCCGCAGAATATGCACTGACGACTGTTTGGAATCGGAATTGCTGTTTATCACACAGACGCTACGAGCCAACGGATATCCAGAAGCGTTTATTCGATTCCACGGTCAATTGAAGGAAAACAGGCCGACGGTACTTACTGTGCCCAAATTGTCTGTCTACCTTCAATTACCTTTCAAAGGTGATATCGTGGCTGCCCAACTTGAAAGTCGTGTGCATACAGCGATTCGGCGGGCATTCAACGCAGCCAAATTCTGCCCCATTTGGGAGACCAGAAAGTTACCTTTGCCTCCAGTGAAGCCTACTCAACCGATCTCCGCCACAACTCATTGCATTTACCAATTCGTTTGTAACTGCGGTAGTAGTTACATTGGCAGAACAGATCGATCGTTGGGTAAGCGCATTGGAGAGCATATCCCAAAATGGATTGCCAAACTGTCGACACAAGAAGCAGGCGAACGAGAAAAGGTATCTAAGATGCCGGCCTCATCGATCGCCAAACACCTACTGGAATCAGGCCATCAGGTTGACCCCAGGTCAACATTTACAGTTATCTATCGTAATGACAACCCCAAAGTGTTGAGGTTTGCCGAAGCCGTGGCACTTAACCGGCATCGTCCTATCCTATGCGTGCAAAAACAATTAACAGTCTCCCTGAAGCTTCCTTGGGGCTCATGACCCTAAGATAAGGATGCTAATCTGTCATTGTTGTGTCTACGTAATTTTTCCCTTGTGACCAGTTTCAAATCTTCGATTTTTTCTGTCACGTGATTCATCTATCTGTTGTTAGTTTGCGAGTGAACAGATAACACGAAATGGTACCATCTCGCAATACCAGTCTTCTTATTGTCTTATTTAGAATGATAAAGGGAACTCAATGCTTTAAATTTCTTAGACGAAGACTCCCGATTGAGACTATTAGAATCCTTGACGGACTCGTAACACTGAAGTGCAAGATTGCTGCGACGAGAATGCGCATTCGTTTTCTATCTGACTGCAAACGCAATGCTCATTATCCACGACAGTTTTGCAAGTTGCTACGCCGGAATCGGCTGAGGCCTACCATCGCAAACTTGAAGCGGCTTGCCAACTCCTATTTGGATGAGGCAAACAGAATCCTTGTGCAACTAATGGAAACATACCAACGCCGTATGGCGATCACTGATCAACTCTCACTGGTTTGTCGCATCAAATTCACGAACTTTTGCAAAACCGTTGTTGACAGAACGAGGAGGAAACTGGACAAGACCCTGCGTAGATCGCTTGAAAACACAAATGAAGAACCCGTCTTTTCCGACAACCTACAGAAGCATGTACACAACCTGTCTTCAGTATCCTTGAACAGAAAACAAATGGAAGCTTTGTCATTGGGCGTGAATTTTAAGATTCCCCCAAAGAATGTCGACCGAATACACGTTGAGACTCAGTTTGAAAACCTACTGGACCAACTATCTAAATTGACCCCGACGACTAAGGAACAGCACAACTGGCTCAAGGTTAAGCTCGTTGATATTGCAAATGGTTACATGGCGGCCCCGATACACCAAACCTGCTGTATAGATAAAAGTCACATCAAAGCCTTACGTGATCTGAAGGCAAAAGATATATTGGTGCTAAAACCTGACAAAGGCACAGGGGTTGTAATTATGAATAAGCTTGACTACAAAAACAAGATGTATGAGATCTTAGGAGATAAATCAAAATTTCAAGAAGACCAAAGCGAAACCACTGTAACACAAATCGAAAAGAGGGTGACTAATCAACTAAAATTGTTGCTGCAACATGGAATGCTAACAGAAGCGATGTACAACTCTCTCAAGCCAAGAGGGACACGCATCCCACAAATGTATGGCTTACCGAAGATCCACAAGGCCAACACACCTTTAAGACCTGTACTATCCATGTGTAATTCACCATACCACAAGTTGGCACGTTGGCTAGTTGATCTACTTACACCGGTGAGACGAATGATGACAAAGTACACAGTGAAGGATACATTCGACCTGATTGACTGTGTGCAAAACATGAATATCGCTGACAAGGTAATGTGTTCAATGGACGTACAGTCTTTGTTCACTAACATCCCATTAAGAGAAACGGTGGATTTCTTATGTGAGTTTATAATGAGTAATAAAGTAGTGTTACCGATTCCCGTGGAATATCTTAGGGATTTGCTGCTACTATGCACTGAAAATGTGCATTTCTTATTTGAAGACAAGCCGTATCGACAGGTGGATGGTGTAGCTATGGGAAGTCCGCTAGGTCCGGTATTGGCTGACATCTTCATGACGATGGTTGAAATGAGATGTGAGCAGCACATCAATCAAATGTGTTTATACAAGCGATACGTAGATGACACATTAGTGATCGCCCCAAGTGGAGACGCTGTTCTATCTTTCCTCAACGTGCTTGATAACACACATCCAAACGCCCGTTTTACCTGCGAACTGGAGGATAACAATTGCCTTCCGTTTTTGGATGTGTTGTTGACCAGACGAGAAGATGGCTCCATTAAGCGTTCTGTACACAGGAAAGCTACATGGACAGGATTGTATGAACACTTCAACAGCTTCGCCCCTATACAATACAAGCGGTGCTTAGTCAAGACGCTGTTTAATCGAGCCCGCAGAATATGCACTGGAGACTGTTTGGAATCGGAATTGCTGTTTATCACACAGACGCTACGAGCCAACGGATATCCAGAAGCGTTTATTCGATTCCACGGTCAATTGAAGGAAAACAGGCCGACGGTACTTACTGTGCCCAAATTGTCTGTCTACCTTCAATTACCTTTCAAAGGTGACATCGTGGCTGCCCAACTTGAAAGTCGTGTGCATACAGCGATTCGGCGGGCATTCAACGCAGCCAAATTCTGCCCCATTTGGGAGACCAGAAAGTTACCTTTGCCTCCAGTGAAGCCTACTCAACCGATCTCCGCCACAACTCATTGCATTTACCAATTCGTTTGTAACTGCGGTAGTAGTTACATTGGCAGAACAGATCGATCGTTGGGTAAGCGCATTGGAGAGCATATCCCAAAATGGATTGCCAAACTGTCGACACAAGAAGCAGGCGAACGAGAAAAGGTATCTAAGATGCCGGCCTCATCGATCGCCAAACACCTACTGGAATCAGGCCATCAGGTTGACCCCAGGTCAACATTTACAGTTATCTATCGTAATGACAACCCCAAAGTGTTGAGGTTTGCCGAAGCCGTGGCACTTAACCGGCATCGTCCCTATCCTATGCGTGCAAAAACAATTAACAGTCTCCCTGAAGCTTCCTTGGGGCTCATGACCCTAAGATAAGGATGCTAATCTGTCATTGTTGTGTCTACGTAATTTTTCCCTTGTGACCAGTTTCAAATCTTCGATTTTTTCTGTCACGTGATTCATCTATCTGTTGTCAGTTTGCGAGTGAACAGATAACACGAAATGGTACCATCTCGCAATACCAGTCTTCTTATTGTCTTATTTAGAATGATAAAGGGAACTCAATGCTTTAAATTTCTTAGACGAAGACTCCCGATTGAGACTATTAGAATCCTTGACGGACTCGTAACACTGAAGTGCAAGATTGCTGCGACGAGAATGCGCATTCGTTTTCTATCTGACTGCAAACGCAATGCTCATTATCCACGACAGTTTTGCAAGTTGCTACGCCGGAATCGGCTGAGGCCTACCATCGCAAACTTGAAGCGGCTTGCCAACTCCTATTTGGATGAGGCAAACAGAATCCTTGTGCAACTAATGGAAACATACCAACGCCGTATGGCGATCACTGACCAACTCTCACTGGTTTGTCGCATCAAATTCACGAACTTTTGCAAAACCGTTGTTGACAGAACGAGGAGGAAACTGGACAAGACCCTGCGTAGATCGCTTGAAAACACAAATGAAGAACCCGTCTTTTCCGACAACCTACAGAAGCATGTACACAACCTGTCTTCAGTATCCTTGAACAGAAAACAAATGGAAGCTTTGTCATTGGGCGTGAATTTTAAGATTCCCCCAAAGAATGTCGACCGAATACACGTTGAGACTCAGTTTGAAAACCTACTGGACCAACTATCTAAATTGACCCCGACGACTAAGGAACAGCACAACTGGCTCAAGGTTAAGCTCGTTGATATTGCAAATGGTTACATGGCGGCCC